CACATGGCCCCTGTACACACTCTCCGTAATCTGCTCTTCATCCACTTCCTGTTATCCCCGCCGACCCAGCTCCTGGTTTACAGCCACCACTACACTGGCAGGCGGGCTCAGCCGCGGTCCATCACAGCCCCCCCACCGTGAGGCGTTCCCAGTCCCGGGTTTACTAGGATCTGGGAGCCCGCACCCACTGGGCTCCAACTTGCACTCCTCTGGTCGTGGAAGCCGGGAACCCCCGATTGCCACACTTCCCATGCCGCTCTGTTGCCCACACTCATCCTGCGCTCGCTGTCAACCTCCTCCTAAATTCCTTAGTAGGCTGTGAGTCAGCTGCCCATTCACCTCTTGTAACTTCACGGCCGTGCACATGAACAGTACCACTGCCGGCCAGGTTCACTCCTGCAACTCCTTGAATATCGGAGGCTGACACCGCGGCCTGGAGGGCCGCCTCTAACCCGAACACCTGGAACTCGTGGGCCTGCTGCTGTAGCTTGAACACACTCGTCTCCACCCAGCTCCACGGCACCAGGTATCCAGCAATTTGCCCCGTGAAGTGTCCTTTGAGAAGCATGTTTGGCTTTTGCCCGATGTATGCCCCAACATGCTGGTGTTGTGGCCCTGCAGAATCCATGCAGCACTCATGCAACTTCTCTTCCTCCCGCTCTGGCATAACACGGCTACGGGTTTACCGCCCGCAGTGCGTGGTGGCTTTGCGCCATTACTCTAACCTGGACCTCCAGGGCCTCCCACAGCTGGGATGTTGGGACTCGGCCAACAACCTCATAATGCAGCGCCTCCGGGCTGCCATGTTGTTTCCTTACGGCGGCCATGCGCCTCTTGGATGGCCTTCTCCCGGATGCCACGGTTCGCCTGGGGCTGCTCTTCCAGGCCAGTGGCTGCTGCCGGATACAGGGCTCCAGCTCCCGCGTTGGTGAGCTGTGTCTCCCGGGCCTAATCCTCAGCCAAGCGTCTGACTGCTGCCGTTTATCCTCCCGTCCTTCCCTGGCTTCCGCACCCCAGGGGTGGCTTCCATGCCTTCCAATCTGTGACTCAGGAAACCGCGCCACCATTCGCTTCTCCTCTTCCACCTGTTCCTCTTAGCCCTGGCTTGGGCTGTCAGGACGACCTTCCGACCCTTGGTACCCGTTGCCCCAATTCCTGCCCTCACCGACGGGCCTCCACAACTGCACCTCATCCATTGCTGCTGTCCGAGTTA